TATATTACAATGGATTAAATAAGACATGCAAAGCACCTGGCATGATGCCTCAGACCCTAGTTCAATTTTGTTAGCTCCCTTCTCCTCTGAAACACTGGCATACCTAGCACATTTGATAGCTTATACAGATAATTTTTACAGTTCTTCCTCTAAGTGATAAAATTACTTTTATTAATATTCATGATATAAAATTAAAAATAATACAGGACCAATGTAATTGTAGCCATTAAAATACTTTATTGGTGTTCAAATATGTAAAATAAGTTTAAGTAAAATAATTTTAGTACAAAAAGGAAAAAATAATAGATTTACATTTTTTCATTATGATTTTTTGAAGGAAAAAATGACGAAATCCTTTAAGATTCACAGAGTAATTTCTTGATAGAATGACTGAACTAAAATTATTCAGTTTGTGTTTAGGCATCTTTACAATCATGGCACTGTCATTGTGTATTTTCAACATACTGCTTAAAAAGGTAGGATTTGTATAGTACCACAGAAGGTGGACACACACACATAAACTTCATAGAATATAATGTTTATTAAAAGATAAGTAATAAAATACCTATTTTTACATCGAGGGTTTGTTATTAAAAACCTAACTGAACCACAGCATTTATTTAGAATTACATCAGTGGTTCTCTGCCTTGGTGATTTTGCCTCTCAGGACATTTCCCAGTATCTGGATGCACTTTTGGTTACTGTAACTGGGAGGGAAGAGAGTATTACTAAAATCAAGGGGTAAAGGCCAGCGGTATATTTACCCATCCTAAAATGCACAGAACAGCCTCCCACAACAAAGAATTACCTGAATCCAAATTATAACAGATTGAGAAACCTTGACTTAGACTAACAAAGTATTTTTTTCCTTGGGGAGGATTATTTTTTCCTTTGGTATTGTTAAAGACTGAAGGCACATGACGGTAGTTAAAGCAGACTACCTTTTATTGTTTGGTAAACAATAACATAGACAATTTACTATCTAATTGCCTACATCCAGGGCTAATCATTAGAAATCCATTAATTTCTCCTTCTAAAGGACTGCCACTTCAGGTGAAAATTAAATCTCATTTCTAAAGAACTTTAAACCACTTATGTAATGGTTTAATGAACCAGAACTTAATAAATGATTTATGTGGTTATTCTGTTTATTCACTAATCTTGAGTTTTTAAAATATAATTTTAAATGTTTATGTAAGTTTTATTGAAATATATAATTCAGATACCAAAATTCACCCTTTTGAAGTGAACTATTCAGTGCTTTTAGGATATTCATAAGGTTGTATAATCATCACCATTATCTAATTTCAGAATATTTTCATGATCCTCAAAAGAAACCTCCTGCCTAGTACCATCATTCTTCCTTTTTCCCAGACACTGACAATCACTAATCCACTTTCTTTTTAGGAATTTGTCCATTTTGGACATTTCATATAAGGAGAATCCTAAGAGTATGTGGCTTTTTCTGGCTAGCTTTTTTCACTTACTACATTTACATGATTCATCTATGTTGTACCACCTATCAGTACTTCGTTTTTATTGCCAGGCAATATTCCATTGTACAGATAGGCTACAGTTGGTTTATTCACTCATCAGTTGATATTTGGGTCTCTTCTGTTATTATTACTAAGAATGCTGTTAAGAAGATTTATGACTACAATTTTTGTGTGAATATAGGTTTTTAATTTTTTTGGAGTGCAATTCTCTTGGCACAGAATCTAGGAATGGAATTGCTGGGCCATTTACTAATTCTCTTTACTATGCAAAGAACTGAAATTCTTGCATCACACAATATTCTATGACCATGCCACAATGATTATCCACTGACTACTTGATGCACATTAGGATTGTTTCCACTTTAGCTGTTACAAATAATGCAGTATGAACATCTGTGTACAAGTTTTTGTAGAGACAAGTTATTTCTCTAGGAGTGTAATTGCTGGGCTATGTGATAACTCTGTTGAACCTTTTGAGAAAATGCCAATCTGCTTTCCAAGGTGCTTTTCCAATCTGCACCATTTTACAATCTCACCATCAATATATTGAGTTCCAACTTCTCCATATCTTTGTTACTGTGTTTTAAAATTAATAGAAACCAGAAAGAGCTATTAAGACAGCTAAATAGATTCAGGTAAAGCACACTTGTGGCATCTAAGACACACTCACAAATATTTTATGGGCTTCAGTTAGGTTATCCTTTTTAAAAGTAAACATATCACAAACTTCACCATTGAGGGCTATAGTTTAAAAAGGGAGCTACTGATGAAAATACCAGAAGCAAAGAATCTCCAGGTTTGGGAATTAAATAATTAAATGTAATGTCTTTCAAGCCATTAGAGGGTGGTAAAATCAACTTAGTGGGTTGGGAAATTTACTAGTTTTGGAAAACATAGAATAGACAACATCAGAGTACATCACAGGCGATAAGTACTTTTTCGTGAAATTGTTTTGTTGATACAGAGGCCCATACCAGGTCAGTGTTAAAATATATTTCTTAATGTGGCTCATAGTCAAAGAAGCTCCTTAAGTCCAACTACCACTTGATGTTTGAATCCAATCCATCTCTACATGTGTAGGACCATCAGCTTCTGCTTTAAGACATTGTAGCTCTACTTTTGTACATTTAACTGAGAAGGTTTTCATCAAAATAATTAAAAACGAAAATGTTTAGTATCGATCCATTAGTTTAAATCTGTTGAGAAGTTAAGCATGCTAGAAGTATTTTTTTTGTATGTGTTCCAGCATCAGAAATGGCATTACTCACAAGCTCATCACTGGCTTTGAAGGTAGTCTTAAGTTAACTACCATTATCATTAGTAACGTGTGAGTACCAACACACTGAGTACCTTTAAATTCTGTAAATACTGCTGAAAACATTAACTTATAATCATAGTGGCAGAAGCCTTAACGCGTATGACCGTATTTTACACATCAAATTAACTATTTGATCTTAAAAAAAACAAAGTCCAACACTTTTATAAAGGGGTTAACTTTAAAAATTTAAAATTGTGACTCATACTTTGAAAAGGCAAATTTATGTCAATTGTGGTTGCTGGCTGTTTAAACATAATCTAAAAGAAAATTAGGATAATGACACTAGGTTGTTTGAAAGATATCTAATACATGCATGCAGCATAAAATCCCAAGTCAGACAGTTAAGAAAAATATCATGTGTACCATGATCTTTCCAATATCCTGATGTACAGTTAGCCCTACAATTCCTAGTTTCTCTTCTATAAATTCAACCAATCATAGATTACAACTATATTTTAAGAATGTTAGGTTGTTGCTGATGCGTCCTATGTAGTTAGGCCTACAATGGTTGGGTCTATAGTGAATATGTACTTTTTTGTCACGTATTCCCTAAATAACATAGTAACAAACTCTTTACATTATGTTAGGTATTGTAAGTAATTTAGAGATGGCTTAAAGGATGTATGGATGTGCATAGGTTATATGCAAATATGCCATTTTCTATAAGGGACTTCAGCATTGCTGATACTGGTGTTTGCAGAGGGAGACAGGGTGTCCTGGAACCAATTACCCTGAGGTCACCAAAAGACTATCATATAAACTTGTTATAATGACTTTTTAGTGGTCCCTGTATGAGTTTTTGAGATATTTGAGGGCAGTAATTTCCCACAGTAACTTACCTAGTAGGCTCTCAATATTTGAATTTTATATTCAATAGTTTATTAATTGCTTACTCTGTGACAAGTTCTAAGTTCTCTATAAAGTTCTAAGAACTTAAAAATGGATAATTTATAGTTCCTAATCTAATGGGTTTCACAGACTTAAGAGGGGAGACAAAAATTTATAGTAGTGTAGCAAGGAGCAGAGGTAGTAGAAGGGTGAGTGATCACTATATTCTCTAGCAGTTGGAAGTTGGCTGGTGTGCAAGATCAGTTTTAAGGGATGACTTTGAAAGGCAAATGAGGGGAAGCACACATTAATGGATGAAGAAACTCATGTAAGGCACATATAAAGGGGAAAAGTGCTGAAAGATACAGGGGGTTCACAAAAGCAGGTTTACAGTTGTTTGTATAGGAAATAGTAACTAATGTATAATACAAGAGTAAACTTGTTCGCATACTCACAACTGTAAATCTACTTTTGCCCACCCCTGTATAATTGCAGAGATGGATTGGCACCTAAAAAAGAGATTCATATATATGTTACTACATTTAAATTGTACCTAATATAGAAAATAAGACCAGGGAAGGTTGCCAGGCAGAGAAGACATGATCAGACTGGTTTTGGATGGAATAATAGACTAATTGGGAGGTGAGTTGTGCTCACCTCCCAATAAATTGAGGGTCTGAAAAAGGTGTAGGGCATTGTCAACAAATGTTCGTGTATATACCACCTACACAGATACTGGGAAAACAGTTCCTATGTTTAAAAAGGACTTGTATTTCAGGTTAGACGTATACTTCAAGATATAAGAATCTAGAACCATGGATATGTTATAGAAGCGTTCCCTGGGGAAAGTGACACTGAAGTTGAGGCCTGAAGGAAAGAGATTTTAATGATTGAAATGAATTTAAAGTAAATGCTTAGTGTGTTTAGCAGTAAACTCTGTATAATCCCTATATATGCCTCCAAAAGAGAACTGCTTTCTTATGCCCACACTGTAAATCTATCAAAAAACCTAAATGTTCATTACAAAACAAAGTGATAAAGATAAGATTAGGTCTCACTTGTCTATTCTCCTAAAGCACCTTATATTTGCATCACTTACATTGTATTATAATTACTTGAGAATTTGGAAGAGGACTAAAGGAAAGGAATACCAAGAAAGAGACACTACAAAAAGGAGATAAAAAGATTAAATAATTTAAAATGGCAAATGCTTTACAATGTTCAAAAGTCTCAGCATTTTCCATTTAACACAATAACTTAGTGGTATCTAATGATGTGTAATTTTAGTGAGAAAAGCACAGTAAGTGAAAATGAGACTGCATATTAAAGACTTCCTATCAAGAATCTTGGCTGAGAAGTAATGCTACATGAGGGTTTTTTATTCTTATTTTCAATATCCTTGTTTGAAGGAAAACATCACTTGTTGACACATTATTATGGACACATGTGGTTTCAGTAACCCGTATTGGTTCTTCCTCTAGCTTCCTGAATATATATTAAAAAATGTTCATATCTTTTCACTTATCACTGGGAAAGAACTTGAGATGCATATAAATTCTGAACATTTACACTTTGGAGAAGGTGTGAATTTGTAAGGTATGAACCAATCACTTCTGATTGTTTCTTCCAGCCTCTAAGAGAGAAGATGAGGAATAAATTTTTTCCCTAAAGAAAGAAGAGAGATAGGTTACATTAAAAACATTTTATTATATAATAATACATTATCACTGGCATATCCTAGAGATGCTTCTACATCCCAAGTTGTATGTGTAATGATGAGTGTCATTGACAACTAAGAGGACAGTCAAGCATCATCATCATCATTATTATATTTTTAATAGGGGAAGCCATTATTTTTCCCTAAGGAGAAGAGGAAGAGAGAAACATTGATTGGCTGCCTTTCATAGTCAGCCCAACAGATGGAACCCACAACCTAGGCATGAACCCTGACCAGGAATCAAACCCACGAAACCTTTTGGTTTTCTGGGTGACACCCAACTAACCTAGCCACACTGGCCAGGGTGCACCAACATACCCTCTATAGGCCTAATATCGTTGTATTTTGCTTACCAATTTTCTGGTCAAATCTTTTCTCACCACGTTATTTTCTGTGTGCTGATTACTATGCTATGTCTAACAAGATCAGTTTATACTTTTCCCCGAAGGCATAATAGCATTTTAGTCTCTTAATCTTCACTTCTTTGTTGTATCTTCTTGGAGTGGTGTAATAAAATTGCAGCTTAAAAAAATACTGAAGTAAAATGACTTAACAAGGACAAGATCTCTCTGGGATACATAGGAGTGTAAAATTAAAGTGGTAAAAACAATGAGCCCTTCTTACACATAACTTTCAGATATCAAGTGAGTGTGATGAAAATTGAAAATCCTTAATGCTTACCAGTTAGATCAATGTCTTTCTGTTTTAAATCATTTTCCATCGTGGCATGAAGAACTGCACAATTTACTTTCTAGTACTATTTGTTCTGTTTGGTGCACTTGAAAAGGGTGATAATACCCAATTTTATAAAACACAACTCAAAAGCCCTCTGATAACTTAGCGGTAACAACTCAAAGCTTTCCTCACACCAGATATTCTCTGGATATAACAAAAATTTAAAATACTATGTAACTTTTATACGTGTAACTTCTGCTCCTCAAATTCTTATACTTAAGCCTGTGGCTTCAAGTCATTGCCTGCGCGTGCCTATCTTCTCAAAATTAGGATTCCCCTGAAACTGTTTCCCATATATTACAGTACTCTATGCTATCGCAACTAGAGAACTCAGTATTAATAAAGCTGAAAACTGTGTTCGTGAAGTCGCACTTTCATCTTCATTCCAAGTGACCAGGCCTTAAATCTTTTTTCTCTTGGACGTTTTCTTTGCCTTACCTGCTCTGAGAAAAATTGTGCCGCCGCATATAACTCCGAGACACCTGTCAGCGCTTGCAGTCCAGACGATCTTGGTGGGAGAGGGTAGTGGCGGCGACAGTCAGATCGGCGGGACGACAACCCTCCTGGTACCTCATCCTCTTAACACATCTTGGCCCGGTGTGCGGGATACCCCCGGGTCACGAGGCGAGTACCCCCACCCTCAGCTGGCCCCGCACCTCCGCCACAGGTTGCGAGAGACCAGCTCTTTAACCTGGAGCCAATCTAAAATTCGGCAGGATCGATCTAGCTCAGGCCAACTTTCTGTAGCAAAGAAGGTCAAGCTCACCTTGTGGTAGTAAGTGCCTGGACCGTGAACGGCACCGAAATGTGGACAGACATTGAACAAACAGTGGTGGTGGGGGGGGGACCCACCACTGTCTCCGCGGGGCCGGGAGATGACCTGCAATGAGTACGCCGGAAGATAGCAACTACGGGCAGGATCATCTCGGTTCCCGGCAGGCCAGCCACTTCCGGACTTGCGCATCGCCTCCCTTCGAACTCCGGGACCGCCCCTCCTCCCCGCCCCCTCCCCGGGCCCGCCTGCTGGTTCCCGGCATGCTCCGCGGAGGACGGGACAGAGTCGACAATAACAAACCCTCCCGCGGCCGTGTCCGCGGCCCTGCCGAGCCTTCTGCGCTGCTTCAGGGTTCTCTCGTCGCCTCGGCCCCTCGGCTCTGACCGGCCGCGGCCCCCTGTCCCCCGGCCCCTGACCCAGAGCCGAGGGGCCTGACCGCGTCCTTTCTCCGCCCGGACCACTCCCTCCTGTCCGGAGTTCGGGGCCGCGGTTGGCACCCGGACACCGGCGATTGTGTCAGTGGCGGTGCCGGATGGAAGGTTGGTAGCCGCCGCCTCGTCCTCGGCGGCGGCGGAAGATGGTGCCAGGGGCTGCGGGCTCTACTGTTGCCGCCGGCGGGGAAGGAGGTGCTGCCAGGTAAGTGCCATTGCCGCCCGTGTCCTCTTCCCTCCTCTGGCTCCGGGACCGCTCAGCGAGCCCCTGCACAGTGGGCCCAGGGCACTGGGGTCCCGACAGTACCGGAGCGCCGCCCTCGCGCAGGTGTGTGAACCGTGGGCCCAGCGCATCCGGTCCCTGCAGGTGTTGCCTTGCGGTCGCCTCCCTAACACTACAGCCCCTGTGGAGACACCTAGCTCCTATCGAAGACCCACTGGGCTGCGGGAGGTGTGAAGGTGGGCTCGCCCGGTCCAGGCCTGCCTGCGGCTTCCTCGGAAGGGAGCTCCCTGGATGCCTGCCTGTACGCGCCCCCGGCTGACTTGCGGGAGTGGCTGAGCGGGAGAGACGCCTGAACTACCAAGACGCGTCCTCACTCGTCACCACTGCCGGGCTCAGCCCTAATGGTGTCTTTGACTTGAGAAATCGGAGACTGGAATTGGGCCGAGGCCGAACGAAGCGTCTAGTGGAGAAACGGAGAGATGTCTTTGTCCCGACCCTGGAGTGTGAGGATCGGTATAAAGTTACTCCTAGGAATGACTCAGCCTCCGCCCGCCTCTCTGATAGATTTAGGATTGTGTATTCGGATTTCATAACTTCCTCGGTAGAAACAGGAGAAATGGCAACTTCTCAAAACATTTTTACTGTTTCTAACATTGCCTGGTTGGATATGCTATGTCTATTGTTTATAGTTTCATCATCTCATTTTTTTCAGTCATGACTCTTTAAAGTGCGGTCATACCTCAAAGTAATATGGCCTGAGTGCCAAGGAACACTAATGTGCTTACTGTTGATAACGAGTCACGTTACTACAAGACATTCAGCTACATAGGAATGTTCGCCTTAAGTCTGCTATATATAGAACAGTGATTTGGCCCATGTGAAAATGTACCTGTGTCGTTAACCACTTTATTATTGGTAACCAGTTTTTTTGTGTGTTGATGGTGCTCGTTTGGAAGGTTAGCAATTTAGGAGGAGACTTTTTAATTGAAGACAAATCGGGTTTAATACAGAAACTCAGTATTGTATTTCAATATTTGATACGAAAAGAGTCTTTCCAATTTTGATATTACTATGAGAAGCAGAAGGACAGTTGAGGAAGGTAGTCGATGTAATTTTTGGGAGGAGTTGTTTATAAGTAGACCATTGCTAAGGATGTGAAGATATTTGGCTTTTTAAAAATAATTTTATTTAATCCGTTTTGAATCTTTTACATTAAAGTTACTATTACTCATTGGCCTAGTTCTTTCATGTTGTTACTGGATGACAGGGAAGACAATGAAGTGTACTACTCTTTGAGAAAATTTTTCTAGCCCCTGCTAACAGTTAAAATGCCTGGCAGATTGATTTTTAGTAAACCAATTCATGAAGTCCAAAGGACAGAGCACATAAGACCTTTGTTCTTGAAAAACCACACTTTTGAACCTGAATTGTTATTATGGAAGCTTGAGAAGAGCTTTTATTTGGCTTTTAATTTTGAGAATCTCATGCATTTAGCAAGGGTTTGAGCACCCGCTATATGCTTTAACTTGCAAATGTGTGTAATCTTTGAATATTTTCAAAACAAGGGTTGGCTAGTAAAATTTTCTCAATTGGGTAATTCTGGTCTCTAGTCCCAATTAAGCTTTTATTTTGTACTACAGAAAATACTGTTTCAAAAAACTCAAGTCAAAATCTAGCAGTTCCTTTTCACATGCATTCATTCCTAGAATTATTTATGTATCACAGACCATTGAACCAGTTACTATGAGGAATGTAAGAACATGTGAAAGTATTCTTGCCTTATATATAAAAGAAAGAAAATTGGATTCCTCTATAGAAATAATTACAATTGAGCATTAATGGAAATTTGAACGAAATATACTGAAGGGATTTGAGCTTTTACAGAATATATGAGGATATTTCTAGAAGAAAATGCATGATAGGACATGAATAAGTCACTGCACTTCTTTAAAAAAAAATCTGGCTATCAACAAGTTTTGACAGGGATTTATCATGTACCTATTATGTGCCAGGCATTGCTCTAGAAATGTGGGACAGAGAACAAACCAAGCCAAATCCCTGTGCTCATTCATTCAAGAGAAATATGGGATAACAGACATAGGCTAGGGAGGAAAAAAAGCAGAAAAGGGAGGAGATGAGCTATCAGGACTAGGGGGTTGAAATTTTAGAATCTACAGTTTAGACGTGGCTGGGGAAGGCCTGGCTGGTAATTTTTGAGTAAAGACCCAAGAGAAGTAAGGAAGCTTGATGTATGACTGACCATCTGGGGAAGAATATTCTTGGCAGGAGGTACAGTAAATGCAAAGGCTTTGAGATACTTGGCATACACATGAAAAAGTGAAAAGGTTGCTGAGGGTGACCAGGTTACAAAGGAGGGAGGTAGTAATAGAAGAATGTGCTGATAGTGGGGGGCTGTACAAATATTCACGTTTCGGGGTCATAGCAAGCAAACTAATGTACTGTAGCTCTGCATGGACTAAGGTATGGAGATTTGTTCCATTAAATCCAGCAAGACTGGAAAGCAACTTGGAGCTAGATTCATTTTTTTAATGAAATGTTAATTAAGCCCCTGCAACACACAGTTTTAGCTCTCACAAAATGAACAATGAACAAGAAGCACTCACATGTAAACTTTGTATATAAGGTTGTAGGAAATTTTAAAGAAGTTAAATTACAAATGTGGAGTGCTTTGAGAAGCTAGAATAGATAATATTTTAGAAGCAGATTATAGAATGTTAGGTTGATGATTTTGTACTTATTGTCACAGATAAAAGTATGTAAGTTTTAATGACCACATTTCTCTGATTCTTTCATTGTGGATCTCATAAATCTACTTTGCCTGGACCTCTTCGGTTGTCCAGGTTCTGGAGAGGATGGCTTTTCTTCCACCTTTTAGTAAAGTTGAGATTCTAAGTAACATTTACAAGTACAGTACTTGACTGCCTGTAAGCACCCTTTGTTTCATTGGTTAGTTTCTGTTTTCACAGTTTTTTTAGTGCCTTGACTGAGGCTTATACCATGATTTTGCTCTCTTTTGAACTCTTATTTTATCAGTTTGTAGATATTCCACACATCATAATTGGTCAGTAATTATCCAGAATAACTGGTGAAATATTAGTTAAATCACTACCACATTGCTAATGTTTCCAGTTTGCTGAGTGTTTGCATATAGTCTTGGCTTAATAGAATGAAGCTAATTCAACATTTGCTGTGTAGGTAATTTGGTTTCAGTTTTTTTTTTTTAACTTTTAGCATATATTGTAAAATGAAGCATAGGACAAGAGAATTTTTACTATAGATATAGTTATATGAGAATTAATAATTTAAAAAAATTGACATTTAAAGGACTGTCACAACTTGATATTACTATCCCTTAACAGTTACACCATGCACAGTTCTGGGTGTCATACCACAGTTGATGAAAGTAATGTAGGAAAAATGGCTGTGGCATCCTTACTTGATATAGTTTGGAGGCAGGACAGTTATTTTTTAGTAGACTTGACTTAAATTAATTTTAATGGTTCTTTGGAGTCTGTTAAGCAGAAGCTATCAAATGATATGACATGAAAAAAATCAGTGCAGTAATACTTATAAAGAGAATTTAGTTTTTATGAATGAGACTAATTCATAATGACAAAGTCTTAATGATATTTGGGACTTTTTAACACCATTTATTTACTAATATTTCCAAATTTAAATGGTTGTCAAGCATTTTACATGATTTTACTTGGATGAGTAAAATTCAGATGAGGAGAAATGGGTAGGACTTTGTAAAGTGAGAGTGTAGGTTTTGTGTAGGGGAATAGTTGGAGATACTTTCAGAAAGATGAACTGGGGTTAATTATGAAGTCCTTGAATGTAGGAGTTAAAGTTGTAATTGCCACCATTTTTAAAGCTTTTATTATATTCCTTGCATTGTGAATGAATCTGAAATATATCATTTCTATCCCACTCATCCACACTGTAAAAGGCAATATTTCACTTCATAGTTGATGAATTGCTGTGTAAAAGTTATCTGAGCCTCAGTTGGAGAGATGAGATTCAAATGCATGCAACTCTTGCCCCAGAGTTTGCCATTGTAATGTTAATCAGTTTAATGCCAGAGTTGGCAAATTTATATGCTTAAAGGGGCAAGCAGATAATGAAATAAGAAAAATCATCTGGGTACTGAACTGAGGTCATGAGAGGTAACTGCAGAGAAACAAACAACAGAGCATGGTGGATCATTGGTTTGTGGCCTTCTGTGGGCAATAGTGAGGATCTAGGGAAAATACTAGAGGAGGAAGCAGTCTTACTCCCATGGTTGTAACTGGTATGGGTTCAGGAAAAGTTGGAGCAGGACAGGGACTTAAAGACAGTAAGAAGCATTTTCAGGCTTTAAAATAAGGATTATGTCATTTGAAAATAAGGGGTTGGATTATAAAGGAAAAAATGGATTGTATTTAAATAGAAATAAGCTTTGAGTAACAAGAGAATGACAGGTTTTGTTGATAAAG